GAGGAAAATTAAAGCATATGGAATAGGAGGAGAAATTTTTTCCTGGATAGAGGCATGGTTGACAAATAGGCAGCAGAGAGTTTGCATAAATGGGGAGAAATCAGAGTGGGGAAGCGTCACGAGCGGTGTTCCACAGGGGTCAGTGTTGGGCCCCCTGCTGTTCACAATCTACATAAACGACATAGATGAGGGCATAAAGAGCGACATCGGCAAGTTTTGCCGATGACACCAAAATAGGCCGTCGAATTCATTCTGACGAGGACATTCGAGCACTCCAGGAAGATTTGAATAGACTGATGCAGTGGTCGGAGAAGTGGCAGATGCAGTTTAATATAGACAAATGCAAAGTTCTAAATGTTGGACAGGACAATAACCATGCCACATATAAACTAAATAATGTAGATCTTAATATTACGGATTGCGAAAAAGATTAGGAGTTCTGGTTAGCAGTAATCTGAAACCAAGACAACAGTGCATAAGTGTTCGCAATAAAGCTAATAGAATCCTTGGCTTCATATCAAGAAGCATAAATAATAGGAGTCCTCAGGTTGTTCTTCAACTCTATACATCCTTGGTTAGGCCTCATTTAGATTATGCTGCACAGTTTTGGTCACCGTATTACAGAATGGATATAAAATTCTCGGGAAAATGTACAAAGGAGGATGACAAAGATGATCCCATGTATCAGAAACCTTCCCTATGAGGATAGACTAAGGCCCTGAAACTGCACTCTCTAGAAAGACGTAGAATTAGGGGGGATATGATTGAGGTGTATAAGTGGAAGACAGAATAAATAAAGGGGATGTAAATAGTGTGCTGAAAATATCTAGCCTAGACAGGACTCGCAGCAATGGTTTTAAGTTGGAAAAATTCAGATTCAGGAAGGATATAGGAAAGTACTGGTTTGGTAATAGAGTTGTGGATGAGTGGAACAAACTCCCAAGTACCGTTATAGAGGCCAGAACGTTGTGTAGCTTTAAAAATAGGTTGGATAAATACATGAGTAGATGTGGGTGGGTGTGAGTTAGACCTGATAGCTTGTGCTAACAGGTCGGTTGCCGTGTTCCTCCCTTAAGTCAATGTGACCTGACCTGACTAGGTTGGGTGCATTGGCTTAAGCCGGTAGGAGACTTGGACCTGCCTCGCATGGGCCAGTAGGCCTTCTGCAGTGTTCCTTCGTTCTTATGTTCTTATGTTCTTATGTTTATTCGTATTCTATTTAATTTTTATGGGACAATGTTGTATAGTCTAAGTAATTAATTAAGAAATATGTCTATCCAATCATCGATATCATTGGCATTAGAGATTTCTGTAGGCCAGTCCACTGTCCCTAGCTCTGCTGTGAAGTTATTTATTAAGGCCTCGTCATGAATTCTAAAGAAAACTTTGTTGTATTCCAGTGGTGGTTCATTAATGTTTGTTAAGAGGATGGTGGGGTAGTGGTCAGTAGTGCTGTCTGTAATTATCACTGATTTAAGGGGGGCTAGTATATTGGTCCATATACGGTCAATTATGGTTGCACTTGTCTCAGTCAGCCTGGATGGTTTAGTTATAGTTGGTATGAATAGTGTGTTGTTCATATTATTAATGAATTCAGATACTGGCTGGTCATCTGTTAGGACAAGGTAAATGTTGAAGTCTGCAGCTAAGAGAAGGTGGTGCTTGAGCATTTGGTTGTTTGTTATTAGTGTCTTTAATTTATCACTAAAATTTGGGAAATCTGTATGAGGCATACAGTAGATGGCACCGATTGTTATAGGAGTCTTAATTTTTTTACAGTAAAATTTGCAAAAATATATTCTCCATATTCATCACTATAACAGGTGGTGTTATAACAAGATAGTTCAATAGAGTAATAGATTGCAATACCACCCCCAACTTGGTATGGTCTGCAGTTGTGGATTGCTGTGTATTCTGGTGCTGAGTAACAATAATACAGGAGAAGGTTGTCTTTAGGGTATCAAGGAGTGCCAGGAGGTCATCATAATGTTTATTAGGGACCTGATACTGTAATTAAGAACTGTAATGTTTTTAGCAGTATTTAGGAGAGTGCTAGCTTGTGATGTTGTGTAATAGAGGCAGCTACATTCCATTAAATTTTGATTAGGAGTTAGATTATACAGATTTTGATCTGGGTCAACGTGATCAATCATCATTAGGTAAGAAGGTAATTTTCTGTATCATGTATAATGTGTTCCAGTACTGATTTCTGTAATAGAGGGGATGCTTGGACAAGTGTATAGCTAATGTATGTTGGTCAAGTAGAGTGTAGAAACTAATAAACATAATGAACTTTGTGTTGCCACTGTATTAAGCTAGAGTGAATAGAGTATTAACTAGGTATAAGCTATTAAGAAAAAATTATGAAGAATGTAGCACCAGACTATGTATTGTGATTGCATAAAAGCTAACACTTGTTGTTTATATCATAGAATAATATGTGAACAATTCTAATTTAGAGACTATGTGAGGTTTTGCACTGCTGTATGAATATAAGATGGTAAATAATGGATATTTATACTGTAGATGGAAGTATTTGGTAATAGCAGATATTAAAATTAGCAGACTGAAATAATATTCTAAAACTTTTTACAAACTTTAAATGGGAATATTTGGCAATGATATCTTATAAAAAAAATAAAGTTAAAATGACAATGATAGATTTTAAGAAAAGTAAAATAAAATAAAGTTGTGTAAATAGATAAAAAATTAGAAATTTGGAAATGTAATATAAATTGTAAATGGGAATTTTGACAATAAATGATATTAAAAAAATTAAAGTAAAATAAAATTATAAAAATAGAAAACAGATAATGAGAATTTTAAATTGTAATAACAGTTAATAATAAATGTATAACTGTTACAAATATGTAAAACCGGCAAAAATAAGGCAGTAATAAGGTAAATAGCACAGTACAGTACAGTAGGTAAAGCAGTTTAAAAAAGTATAGCTCAATACTAATAAAGTCTGGTAAGAGATAATTATAATTCTAAATAAAAAAGTACAAGCTAAAAGTAGTGTTTGAGTAAATTTGAAAATTTGCTACTGTCAGAATGACAAATTGAAATGAATGCTAGGATTTGTAAAACTTGAATTGATAAAGAATTGGGGTTTCATAACACTCTTCGTGAAAATTGGGTACAAACTGCAGCATTTTATTCCAGTTCAGTGAGGCCGGAGTCTCTTAGGAACTTTTATAGCTCATGTTCAGTAGAAACAGTATATCTCTTACCCGTTGGTTCTTTTTTAACAGCAATTTTTCCATCTCTCGCAAAGCACTGCTGTATAGTCCTTGTGGCTTAGCGCTTCTTTTTGATTATAATAATAATAATAATAATCGCAAAGCACTGGTGAATTTTTCTGTCATGTCGTAACTTTCTTAGTTTATAAAGAGTATTTTACCGTAATTTGGTCAGACATTCGTTTTACATACACCTCACTTTTCACTGTAATAAAAGTCTTTAGGAGATTATTTCTTTGAGAGCTACAGTTGAATTTTAGTATTACTGATTTCTTTCCAGTTTGGTAACCTATCACCTTACACTCCTTTATGTCATCACTTGGTACATGAAGATGAAGAAGGTCTTGGATAAGTTGCAAAGTAGCTTGTTTAAGTGTTTGCTGAGTTATAGTAGCTGGAAGATGTTTGCTATTCGCTACAACTGAGATTTTTGTTGTTGGTCGAAGTGGTCTTGGAAATTTGTTAAATCTGTAAGTTGTAAGTCCACTCTTTCCCTTTCATGCTTGATGCTGTTGATCAGGTGAGTAACTTGTTCTTTTAGGAGGTTGATGGATTCCTCTGACTGGGTGTGGGTGTTGGTTTGTTGGTCCAGTGCGGTTTGGTTATTTTCTTGAGTTGTAATCCTGTTCATGCACTGTGTGTTGGTGTCATGCAAGTCCTTAATTTCCCGGGTTAACATATCATTGGACGTTCTGAGTTCACCAATTTCCCGAGTTAACATGGTGGTTGTTTGGCTTAGCCTCCTGGTGAGTTCGGCTATTTCTGGGCCTTTAATGTTCAAATCTTCAAATCATTGAAGGAATTATCCTGGATGTTAGTGACGGTAGCCATGTTTGTCATTGCTGACAGGCGAGTATTGTGTTAGTAGCGGTGGGTGGTGAGGGTTGTGTTCTGGCTTGCAGTAGTTTTCATTATAGTAATGTTTCTCTCACCTGCGCTGCTGGGAGTCCTTGGTTGATTACTGGACCTTCCCTTGCTGCCCTGTCCCCTGGCCATTGACAGTGTCAGGTGAATTGTAGATACTGGGTAGTGTGCAGATGTTGGAATGTTTCCTTTTGCCCGGCAGCGGGATAGATGGCAGTAACTCAAGTCTTCAGTTGGTTAAATAGCGTATTTTTGGCGATTTCTGCAGATGAGTTATATCATTATGGGCATCCACGTATCTTAGTGTTATGTTGGTCCTTACTAGGCCATCACAGCGTTGTTACTAATCACTGGTGGAAGTATAATAGAGGAGCAACAAACTTGCTGCCGCTGCCGTGAGTTGCCTCTCACAACTTTTAGTAATTTATATACAAGGGATTACTAGTCTTTACTCCTGTTATTTTAGTCTCCTTTAAAGAACTAGGTATAAGTAATAGTAGCAAAATATTCCCATTGTCTCAAGTGTTTATGAAACAGAAAGAAAAGACACCAGCAATCCCACTAGACCCAACCAGGGACTAATCTCCTCATATTTACCTCTCCACTTCTTTTGGTGTGTTAATTTTTTTAAACGACCTCTGAATAAGAGTGAAGAAGCTTGCTGTGCAGGCAAAACGTTTCGATAATAAAAATACTAAACTGTTACCCGTATCATAAATTTCTACTTATACACTGCCAGGCACTTCCACACACTACTGATCACTTACACTACCAAATTTTCCCACACTCCACCAAACTCTCACACGCCAATGACTCTCCTTATTTTACAAAACACTCATATTCGCTCTGCCAGAGTTTTCTTGTCTAATTTCAATATTATTACCCATCCTTCAGGAAACAGTGAGTGCCTGGAGGACCGTCTTCCTCATCTCGGCAGGAACGTATCTGGTCACAAACATCTTCTATTTGGTCTTCATCTCTGCTGACGTCCAGCCGTGGAATGAACAACAGCCCAAAAAGGTCCCGGACCAGAATTACGAACCCCGTAGTGTGGTCCTGGAACAGGAGGATGGCAAGTTTTTTCTGTTTTGTTACACTGCATTTACTCTCCTTCATCTATTCTTTACTATGGAAAAACTCTCTAATCCTAATTTAGTGTCAACACATATTTCCCATTTTTTCTACATCAACCTTCTATTCAGTCCTTGTCAACACTTTTTCTTTGCCTCCTTTCTCCTCCTGTCAGTACTGACTCTCCCTTCTTTACTCCCTCCGTCAACACTAATTCTCTCTTTTTTTACCCCCTCTGTCAACACTGGTGTTCTCCTCACTCTCTTCTCTCTCTGCTGAAAAAAGTGCAACGTTGGTTTGATTAAGATAGTAGCAAAATATTTACTAGTGACTTTCTACTTCTTGTATTAACAGGTTTTTTTCCCTGAGTAGAAATGTTGATAAGACAAATGAGTGAGAAAGCACTTAGCAACAAAATATACACAGCCACGAGCAACACAGGATATGCTTAAGTGGCTTCTGCTCTTTGAAGAATCTAGATAAATTTGGAATGGTTTCGGATGTGATATTAATAAATAATACACACAGATTATTGCAAAGCTTTAGACATTTGGGATTATGATGTAACAGAACATAAAAAGGATAAATAAATTTTCAACTTTATAAGTCTGATACAAAAAAAAAATATTTCTCTTCTAAGGTCTCTTCCAGTTCTCACAGCAGACACTGACGAAGTAACAATACTCTAACACCTTTCATACATAAAACAAAGTCTTTCAGTCACCCATAAAATAAATTATTTATTTGAAGAAGACAAATTTAAACAGCTACATTGTAGAGATATTTATGAAATAGAAACAGGAAGAAAATATAATATTCGGTATAAGTTTCTAACGTTGTTAAATTTCAGTATTAAAAATCTGAAAATATTTAGGACATCCACAAGTTATTTCAGGAAATCTAATATCCCTATTTCTTCACTTTAAACAGAAAATTGGCAGCTACCCAACTCAAAACCAATGATAATCTTCAATTCTCAAAAACAAGTATTGAAAGTTTAAAATTATTGAGAAGAAGCACTTTTTGATTATGGCACAAAGACCAAAATATACAAAAACATCAACATTTTGAAACTGCTCATAATCAGGTTCTCAAGATATTGACATTGAAGAGTTCAAAGATCATCTGATTCATTCACAAACGGTTACACGAAAACCATTATTGAAATATTTTCAATTCTCTCAAAATAACTGACCAATTGTCACCCAAACGAAGCATACCTGTTATTAGGACACACCGGTGATTAATGTATAAAACTTACAAGTGGCAGTGTCCCGTCTCTGAATAAAAAAAAAACTGCTATAAGTTTGAAGCTGATTAGGACTATATTCTCTAATTTTCTCACAAAATTAAATAATTTCGAGTTTATTAGCAAAATGAGCAAATATTTAATGTTTTACGTACACAACTCTAATCCCAAATGTATCATTATTTTCATATTATTATTTTATTTTTATTATTTGCACATCTGCCGTTTCCAATGGAAGCAGAGTGACCAGTAAAGAAGAAACACTTTCATCATCATTCACTTCAACACTGTCTTGCCAGAGGAGCACCTACACTACAGTTAAAAATAAACTGCTATTCAGCAACATCCCTCATTCAGTGCTCAGGTTCTGTAATTTCCACCTCCAGGAATCAAGTCCGTCTAACTGGTTTCCCTGAATCCCTTCATAAATGTTTCTTTGCTCGCATTCCAGCAGCACATTAAGTAAAAACTATTTGCTTCCACCTGCTCCTATCTTACACGCGCACATTTGTCTGGAGTCCAAGCCCCATGCACACAAAACCTCCCACACTCACTAAAAACAATAGATATAGCCCCACTCTACAAAGGTGGCAGTAAAACAATTGCAAAAAACTACTGACCGATATCACTAACATTTCATATCATAAAAATCTTTGAAAGGGTTCTAAGAAGGAAGATCACCAACCACCTTGATACCCATCAGTTACACAACCCAGGGCAACGCGGGTTTAGAACAGGTCGCTTCTGTCTGTTCAAGCTACTGGACCACTATGACAAGGTCTTGGATGCTATAGAGAATAAACAAAATGCAGATGTAGTATACAAAGGCTTTGTGAAATCCTTCGACAAGTGCGACCATGGCGTAATAGCGCACAAAATGCGTGAAAAGTTGGTAGATAGACCCATAGCTTCCTAACAAATAGAACACAAAGAGAAATAGTAAACAGAGTAGTCCGAGGCGGCTACGGTGACAAGCTCTGTTCCACAGGCCACAGTACTCGCTCCCATCCTGTTCTTCATCCTCATATCTGACATAGACAAGGATGTAAGCCATAGCTTCGTTTCTTCCTTTGCGGCTGACACCCTAATTGCCATGACAGCGTCCTCCATTGAAGACACCACAAGACTCCAAGCGGACATCAACCAAATCTTCAAATAGGCCACTCAAAACAATACGAAGTTCAATGAAGAGAAATTTCAAAACTGTATCAGGGTATAAAACAAATTCTTACATACAATAGAGCGAGAAAGCAATGTAGAGGACCTGGAAGTGATAATGTCAGAGGATCTCACCTTCAAAGACCTCAATAATGTATCTATTGCATTTGCTAGAAAAATGATAGTATGGATAATGAGAACCTTCAAAACTAGGGACGCTAAGCCCATGATGATTCGCTTCAAATCTCTTATTCTCTCTAGGCTGGAATACCACTGTACACGAACTGCCCCCTTCAAGGCAGACGAAATTGCTGACCTTGGAGTGTACAAAGAACTTTCACGGCACACATAATATGTATGATAAAGTACCTAAATTGCTGGAACGGTTGAGTTCCCTTGATCTGTATTCCCTGGAACGCACGCGAGAAAGATACATGATAATATACGCTTGAAAAATTCTAGAGGGATTAGTACCAAACCTGCACACGAAAATCATTCCATATGAAAGCAAAAGACTCGGCAGTAGATGCAACATTCACCCAATAAAAAGCAGGGGCACCATGAGTACATTGAGGGACAACACAGTAAGTGTCAGGGAGCCCAATAACCGCCTCCCATCTTACATAAAGGGAATTTCCAATAGACCCTTTGCTGTCTTCAAAAAGGCGTTCAATAGGCACCTAAAGTCATTATACCTGACTAGCCGGGCTGTGGCTCGTACGTCAGTTTGCATGCGGCCAGCAGCAACAGCCTGATTGATCAGACCCTGATCCACCATGAGGCCTGGTCTCAGATCGGGCCGCGGGGACGTTGACCCCTGAAACCCTCTCCAGGTATCCCCTCCTCCCTCCAACCTTTCCAAGGATGACCCCTGTGTCTCCATCCTTCCACTACAGATTTATTTTATTTTATTCCATCCCCTCTAAGTATCCAAACCACCTCAACAACCCCTCATCAGCCCTCTAAATAATACTTTAAAAAAAACCGCACCTCTTAATCTTCAAGCAACGGATTCTTTGCATAATATTCACACCCCAATGGAAATAAGAAACTTCGTATGAACTTTTTGGGTTATCTTAGGTTCATTACACATATGCTACTATGTTTGATAAGCTATGTAACTGTATTTGTGTATACCTGAATAAACTTACACATTGCCTTCAGAAAAAAAAAAACATAGCACGGGTGGGATTTGAACCCGCGGTCAGAGTCTCAAAACTCCAGATCAAAAATCCAGATCAATAAGATTCTGACCGCCCGTGGTATGGTTTGTTTGCAATCGTGTCATTACGATTTCGTGAGTCATTGCCCTCAGACTCGACATTTTCACTACCTCTAGCCTCCTTTTTGCAAGATTCACCACCCGTGCTTCTCACTCATATAAGAGCTTTGATACTACTATACTCTCATACATTCCCTCTCTTTCTTTCCTTGATATTTTTTTTTGTCTCCATAGACAACTTAATTTTTCCTATCAATCAATTCTGTGAATCACTTCGCCTTTCAAAGACCCATTTGCTAACAAGGAAACTCTCAAATATCTACATCAATTCACTGCCTTTATACTCCCTCCCTCCAATGGTGACATCACGAATCCTTGTCCATGGCCTACTTTTACTGTGAAATAATTTCTCTCTTATGCATATGTGTGATTCACTATCCTCGTAAAAACTCTTAACTGCTTTCAGTAACCTACCACCTATTCCGTACATTTGCAGCATCTGCCACATTGCTCTCCTATCCACCCTCTCATATGCCATTTCCAAATCCATTAATGTAACAAACACCTCTTTACCCTTATCTAAAAACTGTTCATCTATATGTATCAATATAAAAACTTGGTCTAACCCCCTTCCCCCCCCAATCCCCAATATCTTTCTAGCCTGTATTCCAAGGAAGAAAGATCAAGGGACTTCAAACGTTCCTGGTAATTAAGATGCTTGATGTTTGACTGTATATGGACTTGCAGTGAAGATTCTTTGTACGTTCTCCAGATCTGCAATTTTACCTGATTTTAAAGGGGCTGTTTTCAAGTATTCCAGTATTTGTTCTTAGGCTGTATTCCAACCCTTTTCTTGAACAGGGATGTTGGCGAGTATCAACTGTTTTTATGTCATCAGTGAAAAATCAGCAGATACCAGTCGATATTTTGTAAAATAGTAATGTTGCAAGTTTGCTTAATAAACACAACAATAGTACTCTACCTCACGATTACCAGGGTTATTCACACTCAAAACACAGACACACACACAGACACAGACACAGACAGATAGACACACACACACACACACACACACACACACACACACACACACACACACACACACACACACACACACACACACACACACACACACACACACACACACTCACACACACACACACACACACACACACACACACACACACACAAGGAAACATCCCAGACATAACAGCACTCACAAAAACCAAACTCACCAGAAAGATAGAGGGAGGAGAGGAGGAGGAGGAGGAGGAGAAGGAGTTGCACTGCTCATTAAAAACCGGTGGGGGATTTGAGAAAATGGAAGGAATGGATGGCATGGGCGGAAGGGACTACTTAGAAGGAACAGTCC